TGGGGCAATATGCTAATTACTTTGGGTTTATTGTCTCGTAAGTCTTATCTTTTTTCTAAAAAAAAAAAAAAAATTACCAAACTGAGTAGGCATCCAATTTGGTCGTCGACGGCTTAAACTGGCATAGGTCCAGTTCTGACCTGGTTGGATGGATGTAGCAGTTAGTGCCTGAAACCCCATCTTGCCAAGAATTCGGTCACACCACCATAACACCAATCTTCATGATTCTGCACTCTTACTGAGTACAAAAGAAAACAGAAGAAAAAAAAAATGAAAATGACTTTTTACCAAGTAAAAAGAAGAGGTTTAGTCATTTCAGTGTGAATATTGAGACGAACATAATCATTTGTTGTGGCATTGACAAAGGTCCTGGGAACTTCCCACTAATGGTAACAACCGTTGGCCGGCCGGAACCGGCTGAATGACGACTGTGTAGTCATGAAAAACATCAGCAGAGCATTAGCTGTGGAGACTAGCCGGATCGGCCAAGGGAGAGGGCCATAAAGTGCCAATGTATGGTTCAGCAACAGGGTAGTGAAGAAATGTGGTGTGTCCGTATGGGATTTAATTAAACACAAAAAGCTTGGAAAATGGTTGAGTAATAAAAAAAAACCGCCGGCAGTAGTTACGGAACGGAGAGAACGAAAAGTTGGAAAGAAAGTTGCATTTATTTTTTATTTTATTGATTAAGATTTTATTATTTGAGAAGGTGAATGGGGAAATAATTTTTTTATAAAATTTTTAAGTTTAGAACAAATAATTTATTTTTAATCAGGAAAAATTCATTTTGAGGAATCTATATAATAGTTAGTAACACTTTAATCTCTAAATAAAAAGAAGAAAAAGTTGTATTTAAAGTTGGACTTGGCATGGAATCAGTGTCATCACTTTCCTAAACAAGGAATTCATCTTTTTATTTCTTAGTAGACGTTTAGAGTTCATCAAAAAAGATGTTTAGAGATAAAGGATTTGGCATGAACTCAGTGCCATCTCTTTCCTAAACAAGGACTCCCATCTTTTTATTCATTTGGTGGGACAAATATAGGATTTTCTTAAAATGTGCCTCAGACTTAG